AACAGACCGACCATTTTGATCCATATTTGGATTCGGGTCGACTATGGTCTTCACATAGTCCAACTGCTCCTTGCTCATACTGACTGTGACCTTCAAAAAAGTATCTGTTGGTTAAAGCTTTTCGAGCTCTTGTATTTGAAAATCTATATAGTTCAAGACGAATTAGTCATCTTATAAGCACCTTCTTCCAAATCTAAGTCACAATCTTCACTGACTCGGCAGACCGAGGACACAACGAAGTAACTGAGGTTTGGATTCCGTAGGAGATCTGTGAAGATTAGCAGAAAGAACGTATTCGTTCTTTTGTTGTTTTTTTTTTTTTTTGGTAAGGTATTCGTTCTTTTGTTGTTGGTCTTTACATAGATGCAAGTTCATATGCATCACCTGTTTTTTAGGCAAATATTGCAAAATATTATAGTACTAGTGCTAAGGGTGCGTTCATCGGCTTTGTCGAAGCCTTTGGGGCCTTAAAGGCCCTTATGCAAACAGCGTTTGGCACAATTTCTGGAGAGTTTTGAGGCGATGTAATTGTATTTCCAAAGCTCTCCAAAGGACTTTGGCCCAAAGGAGGTTTCCAGGTACTTGGAATGCTGCATTTTCGGAATGCAAGTCTTGAATTTAATAATTGTTTTTATTCCACTCTTGCACTGTTCATTTTTCCCGCGGTTTTCACAATGGAGTTGGAAAAAATTGAAAAAATTGTGAAGTCGCCGGTCTCAGGATCAGGCAGTCCAATCCTTGGTTCCAGCAATTGGGAATCAGTCCTCCTGATCCGGTTCCCAATTCTTGGGTGGAACCGGACCAGATCGGGATCCGATCACCCCTATATGTTAGTAATATACGTGGCAAAAGTTCCAAAAAAAATAATGGACTAGGACGGAAATATATTGCCAAGTATGTCAAAGAATCAAGATTATAGTAATAGGATCTAAAAATAATGTTGTTCCAAGTTTATCCCATCTCTTCTATAACTGAGAAAAACATGCGTATTTAATTAGGACAATGTAAATTTAAAAACTTTATAAAGCAGTTTTGTCATTCGTATTAGAGATATCAAAAGAACAATGTATTTATTTGTACGAATATGATGTGATATCATCAAATTTTTGATACAAGAGTGATAAATGGCAAGTTGCATCTTACATGATGTATGAGATATGTCACAAATATAAGTACCTTTTATCATAGTAGAATATAGTGTATGTCTTATACAAGTACAAATTGTTTTACAACAAAACGAGTACTTTCTGTAAGTGCAGAAAACACATGCCCGTTTCCTCGTTAAACTGATCAATCTGACAATAAAAGAAGTCTCTGGATCAATGAAATTGTTAATTTATTAGTTCTATCAGGTGAACTGGCTCTGTCTGGAAAAAGGAGAAAAAAGAGGGGAACGAAAATGAGTGTGGGAAATGAGTGAGATTTTGAAATTTTTGTGAGAGGGAAATGGAGTGAAATTCTTGAATTTCTGGCATTTTCTCCCCAAATTCTCTTACTCTTATGCTCCCGAACATAGCAAAAGGACCACGGTATAGAAAATATTCAAGGCTTGTTGAGGCTAATTTTGTTCTCTGTCTGAAAATATGATCTAGAATTTCTAGAAATGTTGCCTCTGGGATGAATAACTCGAAATAAATGAGGCCAAATTCAAGGTCTGAGTTATGTTTCTTTTCCTGTGCAAAGCAGATATCATGAGAAAGGCACTCAGCTCTGTTAGGCTGCTCCATGCCTTAAATGATCTATGGATTATGTTGTTGTTCTGGTCAATTTGACAGCAAAAGCCACTCCTGTCATTCATCTAGCTATTCCATCAATTTGGAGATGATTGCCGGCAAGATGTCCTTGCTCTTCAAGTGATATCACTTCTTTGAGACATATTTGAACCAGTTGGAGTTTAACTTATATCTCTTCCCTTATGGTGCTCTCCCGGCAGGCCCGGAAAGAGGAATCATTGAGGTGATTATGTTACGTGCCTTGAGTGCCTCATGTTTTGCTCCAATTTTGGTTTCTTTTTATCTCACGTTAGCTCCTAGTTGCTGTGTTCTTAACCTTCAACTATATATAATATAGGTAGAACCGCTGGTTTTTTTAGCTACTTCCTTTGTAATCATTTGTCTGATATCCTTTCCTTTTTGGGTATCTTGTTATGAAGTCTTGTCAATCTTTTTGTTCGTTGATCCCCGGCAATCTCATTGTTTGAGCTTCCGATGTGCTCTTTCGACCCTCTTCGTTGCCCTCTCGGAGTATGTTATTTTAGTGCGTGATCATAGATTGAAAGAGAGTGAGAGTCCTTGCTTTCTCATTTGGGCTGCTTACGAACATAAAACAAAAGCAGTGTTTTTCCTGACATGTTTACTTGGTTCTGATGTTGGGTTCTTGATGTCAGTTGCGTCGGTTACAGGCAAACACATGGCTTTAGAAAGCATGAGATTCACTTTAATAAGTCGGCTATCTAGTTGCTTAGTGTTTTGTCATCCATGGCTTAACTCAATTGGTTTTAAGAAAGCTAAAACGGGTAACACGACACAGAAGGCATCTCGACATAAGTAGGTTATGTATGAAAAGACATCGAAAGTCCAGTTCTCTTTCTTTACACTGAAATGATGGCGATCCTTCGGTTTTGTACTTCATAGTTTCAGCTCTGGGGAGGTCACCACTGATAAGTTTGCACCTTCTTCTGGCCCCATTTCTACATATTCATGGGCTAATGCACTATTGCTGGACAATGATGACGAAAACAGACTAGGCTGTGTTCGTTTGCGGAAAAATATTTTTCCGGAAAATATTTTTCGCGTTTTTCGGTGTTCGGGGGCGGAAAATATTTTCCGTGGGAAAACATTTTCCTTCCCCACCCCCAAATCCTTCATTGTTTTGAGGAAAATGATTTCCTCTTTTCACAAAGAGGAAATCATTTTCCCCCAAATTGAAGGCAAAATTGCCCATGGGAGGGAAAATATTTTCCGTGGGAGAGGAAGTTGATCGCCGGTCACCACCGTTGGCCGCCGGTCGCTGGCCGCCCGCCGCCGCCGCCGCCGCCGCGCGGCGGTTTTGCGGCCGCCGCCACGATCGCCGGCCCCGATCGCCCGGCCGCCGCCGCCGATGCCATCGCGCCGCCGCCGCGGCCGGTCGCCGATGAAAAATATTTTCGAAACTTTTTCATATTGGTCGCCGAATACCGGAAAATTATGTTCCGGGAAAATATTTTCCAAGAAAATGACTTCCGGAAAAATATTTTCCAAAAAGAGAAGATTTTCCGCCAAACGAACGGAGCCAAGGCTGCATTCGGTTCAACTTTTCCGGTGGGTTTTGGGGAAATGCATAAATTATTTGGTAAATTGTACTTTGAGAAGCAACTTTGAAAGATGTTAAAAACACATTTGAAAGGGTGATTAATTTAAGTTTTTTAAATTTTTAATTTGTTTAAAATTGAAAAAATAATGTCTGCAACTAGAAGGTCTTTATGTTTTCCGTAATCACACAAAGTATTCTGTTTTGTTGTGGAACAACTCGTACCCGCATAAGACAAATGCTATATTTCACTCTGATAAAGCTACTTATATTTGTGACATATCTCATACCCAATGTTCGATCTTGTAAAGATGTAACTTGTCATTTATTACTCTTGCATGAAACATTTAATAAAATCGCATTATGTTCGTACAAATGAATATATTGTTCTTTTGATTTATCTAATACGAATAGGAACGTGTTCAGTGACAAAACTGATTTATAAAAAAATTGAATTTACATTGTCCCGAAATTTTTTTTGGTCGAATACATTTTCCTAATTTAATATGCATGTTTTTTCTCAATTATAGAATAGATGGGATAAACTCGGGATAACATTATTTTTATTTTTAGATCCTATTACAATAATCTTGATTCTTTGCCATACCTTTTAGAAAAAATGAACTATATTTCCATCCTAGTCCGTTATTTTTATTATCTTGGGTACCTTAGTCGCGTGTGTTAACTATCGGAGCTATTGTTGGGCGAAACGAAAACTTGACAAATGTGGATTCATTTTTACTGGAGTTACTACAAGTTGAGTAGTTTGCTCAAGAAAAGAGAGAACTGAGAGCTTTCGAAGGAGAGGAAAATACCAACCACGTTGAACGCTTCGAAATTTACAGATACAGAGAGAGAGGACAAGAAGCCCACTCGCCAAAGTCAACATAACAAAATACTCCAAAAGAACCGAGAGAAGCAACTCTCATCCAAGGCTCTCTTCCAGACCATGTTGTTCACTTACATAAGGTGCCAATTGATTTACTTCACAGGTATTAAATGATACAGATTCTCAAGTCAACGACATCGCCCAACCGAAGTCGATCAACGACTTCGATCCTGCGGGCAAAGTTGCGCCGGAACAAGCACTCCTGCGCCTGCGCCATGGTAGCATCAATTACCTCCCTCTTGCTGGGCTATGGCCAGTCATCTCTCTCTAAGCAGTTAGAGAGAGAGGATTGGCCATAACCCAGCAAGAGGGGAGGTAACGGATGCCACGATGGCGCAGGCGCAGGCGTGCTTGTTCCGGCACAACTTTGTCCGCAGGATCGAATTCCTTGATCGACTTTGGTCGTACGTTGCCGTTTGACTTTAGAATCACTACGCTTCAAAACATAAAAGGCTTCATTAGAGAGAGAGAGAAGGAGGGCTGGCCATGACCGAGCAAATGGAGGTCATGGAGGACACGATGGCGCTTGTTCCGGCTTCGTCGGAGGATCGACTTCGGTTGGACATTGCTGTTGACTTTAGTCACTACATGCGTTTTTTTATTACCTGTAAAGCAAGTCAATTGGCACTTTATGTAAGCGAATCAGTGGCGTATGGCCGCAGCAAGAGAAACTAGTGTTGAGTGAAGTAACAGAACAAAGCGGACCAAAAAAAAAAAAAGACGACAAATGATAAAAGAGAACATAATTCCTTGCAAAAAAAAATTAAAAATCACATTATGAAAAAGGAAGAAACAAGCAAACTTACATTGATAAAGTCCTTGTTGGAAGCTCATGCGCTTCTAGATACTCAAGATTTTCCTCCTTTTCCCCTCGGATCCGCCGGCAAAACAACAGCTTCTTTCAATATTTCGACATCATCCTCGTCTTCCATGTGCTTCATGACATTAAACGATCCTCTCAATTGCTCTCGATTTCCAATTCGAAGTTTAGTTTTGCATCAAGCTGCTTTCTCCAGTTGAATTATCCGATTGTAGAGTTCCTCTTTTTGCCTCCCAAAGATCCTAAGTTTCAAAAAGGAAGAATATGAAAAAAAATTGTGTATTCTCTTGGCACGAGAAAAAATACGGAGGGAATGCCTCCATGGGTCTCTCTAATTTCAAACAGCAAGGCAATGAAAAAAAAAATATTTTTCTTGCTTTTTCACTCGTCTTCCTTCTTACACAGTGACGACTCCACTTTACGTACCAACACAAAAACATCAAAAACTTTAACGAGGATTAACATTTTCCAAACTTTAGGCCATGGATAACGTGCTCCACAGTCACTTACCTCCGGTCACCGGATCGGCATCATTGTTCACAGGCCACAACCACACGCGCAAACGTACAAAGAACATGGATATGTTAAACTAAGGCGGTGATAATCTTGGTAACGAACATCACTGGGCCATTGAATCCCACAGGAATACATGAACAACACAGAGCAAAGACACAAAAAATTTGGGTTTCTCTCGGCCATACATCCCAATATCAGGAAACGGGACTGAAATCAATGAATCGAAGTTGCCAATCATGATTTGAACATGTTATGAACATATATGTAATCAAATTCCAGAGGAAAAAAGTACGCAGTTTCACTTAAGCATTTTCACAAACATGCGGTGGTCATTTGTAATGTAACACATAAAGACATCAAAGATCCGCCAATTCCGATCCAAACAAACAAGAAAACGTCATCAACAGTTTAAAACGCTATCTAATCTCCAATTACGGTTCGAATTTCACTCGAACCCAAAACACTCGCTCTCGGACTCAGATTAACAAAAAAACAGAGCAAAGAACGTACCCGCATCAGAGACGTGGTTTCAGGCTTCGGCCGGTAGCTAAAATCGACGAACGAAAAGCGCCGACAACAACGATCCGCACCGGGAGTATTAGCTTGAAGGCTCCAGATTAAGACGCTTCGAACTCTCTGGCCAGAAAAACAGAGACGCGCGCGGAGGAGGAGGAGCGGCGGCGCGAACACAATGATGCGGCCATCGGCGGCGGCGGCAGCAGTAACCACCAAAAGACGAGCTAAGGAGGACGCCGGGAATCGCCAATCGGATGAACAGAAATCACCTCTGGAGAGTACTTCCCTCTGCTCCGCTCTCTGTGCTCTGCTCTGCTCTTTATCTCTGGCCTCCCTGAAGCGGATGAGAGAGGGGGTGAGAGAGAAATGCTCTGTTCTCAAAACGAATGGATGTATCCTATCCGGAGTTCGTTAGAGGCGGAGACTCAGCAGATTTTGTTGTGTGATAGATTTTGTTTGGATGCTCTTTTCAAAAGAGAATCTTTAACAACCTTTCAAGGTGATTCTTATCTTTTCGTGGGGTTTTTTAATTGGGAAGAGGTGCCATAATAAATTTAGTGTCTTCATCTCTTTTTGGAACGTACAGCTATAATTTTAAACAAGGAAACTAAGAGATCTGTGGATATATCTCGGTTATGAGTAGCATCCCCATAAAGTCAATAGATAATCTCTTCCGTTTTTTCTTTGAATTTGACAGAATTTTTTACGTGTTACAAACTAGAATTCTTAACAATTGAGACTTTTTAAAATGGCTCAATGAACTATCTCCGGCAATTTATCTCGCTGGAAGATTTTCCTTGACATTTGTTAATAATAAACTCATCACAAGTCATTTTTTTATGTTGATTTCATCCTTATGCGAGTGATTTATCCGCCAGAAAGAGAAGATCGAAAAATAAAGTGAAGAAAATGATCCCAACATGTCCTCTTCTCCACCACACACCCGCATTGAAAGAAACAGGAAGCTGTTATGTATATTGCAGCATAAGGATCATAGAAGGATACAATTTTAACAGTGCCTCTGACAAAATCAGAGGTTTCTTCCCCTCACATTGACTGGGAGAGGCAGGGAGGAGTTTTCTCTTCTATTGTCGCTCTGTGTTTTTACAATGCACACGAACGCGTATACACACAAGAGCAGACTTCGCCGAGCACCGGCTAGAAGCATCTTATGAATTTGCAGATCGTCACGAGGTGATCCGTGAGAATTATTTTCTCCATTGGCTTCATCCACGCAAGGCCCGGCATCAAGGCAACCATGAAGTCGCCGGATGAATTGCCGAGTAGATAGATAAAATCCGGCAGCATTGGTTGTTGCTCTGCGGGTGATGAGGACTCGACCCGCTCCTAGCCATTCCTGGACACCCTACATTGTCAGGAGATAGGGGGGGGGACATACTGGACATAACCACTCCCTTGGTTGGGGACTGTGCCACCCTGCTTTCAGTCGATACACTGTTGAGAAGTCTGATCACAAATTATGGGATATGAGTTCGCACCGTCGGGAGGAACGGGATAAGTTAATTGGATCAGGAGGCCTAATTTCGCACTAGATCTCCATTTGCTTCATATAATTGTCCACGAAGTCATCTACCTTCGTGATCAAATCCCAATTGTCATTCATGAAATTACATTCAGATTATACGACAGGACTAGAAACTCGTTAGGACTAGAAACTCGTTGAAACCACCAAGGGGATTGTATATATCCAACAGACTAACCGTTTTGATCCAAATTTGGATTCAGGTCGACTATGGTCTTCACATAGTCCAACTGCTCCTTGCTCATCCTGACTTTGTCCTGCAAAAAAGTAACTAATGGTTAAAGCTTTTCAAGCTCTTGTATTTTAAAATCTATAGTTAAAAGACGAATTAGTCATCTTCGAAGAACCTTCTTCCAAATCTAAGTCATGCTCTTCACTGACTCGGCAGACCGAGGATACAACGAAGTAACGGAGGATTGGATTCCGTAGGAGATTTGTGAAGATTAGCGGAAAGTACGTATTTGGTCTTCTGTTGTTGATCTTTACATAGATGAAAGTTCATATGCATCACCTGTTTTTTAGGCAAATATTGCAACATATTATAGTGCTAGCGCTAAGGGTGCATTCAATTCAAATTTGCCGAAGCCTCTAGGGCCTTAAAAGGCCATTGGAGAAATGCAAATGGGTTTTGGCAAAATTTATGGAGAGTTTTGGGGCTATGTAGTTGCATTTCCAAAGGATGTCTCGAGGTACTTGGAATGTTGCATTTTCAGAATACAAGTCTTGAATTTTATAATTTCTTTTATTCTACTCTTGCACTGCTTATCTTCCCCGCGGTTTCAAAGTGGAGCTGGAAAAAATTGAAAAAATTGTGAAGTCGCCTGTCCCAGACCCAGGCAGTCCGGTCCTTGGTCTCATAAACTAAGAACCGGTACTCTTGTTCCGATTCCCAGTTCCTGGGTAGAATCGGATTGGATCGGGAACCAATCACCCCTATTGGTTAGTAATATACAAGACAAAAGTACCCAAAAAAATAATGGACTAGGACGGAAATATATTGCCACTTCTCTAAAAAGTATGTCAAAGAATCAAGATTATAGTAATAGGATCTAAGAATAATGTTATCCCGAGTTTATCCCATCTCTTCTATAATTGAGAAAAACATGCATATTAAATTAGGACATTGTAAATTTAAGAACTTTATAAAGCAGTTTTGTCATTAAACACGTTCCTATTCATATTAGAGAAATCAAAAGAAGAAGGTTAATATCACGAAAAATCCTAAACTGGTACACTTGTAACAAATTTACTCTCAAATTAATTTTTTGATCACCAAAAATCCAAAATTAGTACACATGTGACAATTTTACCCTCTGCTAGTTTCTGTTAAATTTTACCGTCAAATTTCTGAGTTGTATGACACATGACAATTGACGAGTGTATCGATTTGAGGTTTTACCCTCCGTTTATCCCAAGTGTATTGATTTGTGATTTTTCGTGGTATTGATTCAATTTAATGGAGGGTAAATTTATCAGAAATGTACCAGTTTGGGATTTTCATGATATCAACCCAAAGAACAATGCATTTATTTGTACGAATATGATGTGATATCATCAAATGTTTCATACAAGAGTGATAAATGGAAAGTTGCATCTTACATGATGTATGAGATATTTCACAAATATAAGTACCTTTTACCATAATAAAATATAATATTAGGACCTGTTTGGTTCAACTTTGAAAATTCTACTTGGGGGAATGCAAATACCTTTGGGTGAAAGCCCATTGGGGAAATGCAAATGATGTTTAGTAAAAATATTTTGTAAAGCTACTTTGGCCAAAATATAGTGTTTGGTGAATTTTTTTTGCAAATGGACTTTGGGAATAAAAAAACCTAACTTATTACCCTTCGCCGGAGCCGGCGCCGGCCGGCCGCCGGTGAGCGGATCTGGCGCCGTGGCCGTCGCCCGAGGTCGGGCGACCCTCGGCGAAGGTCGCGGGACCCAAGCGGCCACACGGGTCGCGCGACTCAGCGGCGTCGCTGGGTCGCGCGACCTCGAGCGACGGCCCGGGTCGAGCGACCCAGCCGACGGCGTCGCACGGGTGGTTGCTCCGGGCGGTCGCCCGACCCCAGGCGACCTCGCCGGCCCTTCTCCCTCGCCGACCGCCCTCGCCGGCCACCCTCGCCGGCCACCCTCGCCGAAGAAGAACAGCAGCTTCAAATCCTAACTTAAAAAAAAAAAAGTGAACAGCAGCATTCGTGGAATGCTAGCATATGGCCAATGCTAGATCAAATGCTGAACCAAACACTCCAGCATTTTGGGAAGGGGCTTTCAAGGCTCAAAGCCCATTCCCAAAGCTGAACCAAACACCCCCTTAGTCTTATGCGGGTACAAATTGCTTTACAACAAATCAAGTACTTTCTGTAAGTACAGAAAATATATGCCCCTTTCCTCATTAAACTGATCAATTTGACAGTAAAAGAAGTCGCTGGATCAGTGAAATTTGTTAATTTATTAGTTCTGATCAAGTGAACAGACTCTGCTTGGAAAAAGGAGAAAAGAGGGGAACGAAAATGAGTGTGGGAAATGAGTGAGATTTTGAAATTTTGGTGAGAGGGAAATGGAGTGAAGTTTTTTAATTTCTGGCATTTTCTCTCCAAATTCTCTTACTCTTATGCTCCCGAACATAGCAAAAGGACCACGGTATAGAATATATTCAAGGCTTGTTGAGCCTAATTTTGTTCTCTGTCCGAAAATATAATCTAGAATTTCCAGAAATGTTGCCTCTGAGATGAATAACTCAAATTAGATGAGGCCAAATTCAAGGTCTGAGTTATGTTTCTTTTCCCGTGCAAAGCAGATATCGTGAGAATGGCGTTCAGCTCTGTTAGGCTGCTCCATGCCTTAGATGATCTTTGGATTTTGTAGTTGTTCTGGTCAATTTGACAGCAAAAGCCACTCCTGTTATTCATCTAGCTATTCCATCAATTTGGAGATGATTGCCGGCAAGATGTCCTTGCTCTTCAAGTGATATCACTTCTTCAAGACATATTTGAACCAGTCGGAGCTTAACTTATATCTCTTCCCTTATGGTGTTCTCCCGACAGGCCCGGAAAGAGGAATCATTGAGGTGATTATGTTTACGTGCCTTAAGTGCCTCATGTTTTGCTCCAATTTTGGTTTCTTTTTATCTCACATTAGCTCGTAGTCGCTGTGTTCTTAACCTTCAACTTCTATATTATATAGGTAGAACCGCTGGTTTTTTTAGCTACTTCCTTTGTTATCATTTGTCTGATATCCTTTCCTTTTTGGGTATCTTGTTATGAAGTCTTGTCAATCTTTTTGTTCGTTGATCCGGGCAATCTCATTGTTTGAGCTTCCAATGTGCTCTTTCGGACCCTCTTCGTTGCCCTCTCGGAGTATGTTATTTTTAGTGCGTGATTATAGATCAAGAGAGAGTGAGAGTCTTTGCTTTTTCATTTCGGCTGCTTACGACAACCGCCCGTAGGGGGTTTACTGCACAAGGCCCCTGCAGAGGAAAAGCTTTATCCCAGCGAATAGAAGATGCTCAGCTCCGCACAACATAGGGTTCGTGTTAATATTTACTTGAGCAATGTTTTTCCTGACATATTTACTTGGTTCCGATGTTGGGTTCTTGATATCGGCTGCGTCGGTTACCAGCAAACACATGGCTTTAGAAAGCATGAGATTCACTTTAATAAGTCAGCTATCTAGCTGCTTAGTGTTTGGTCTTCCATGGCTTAATTCAATAGGTTTTAAGAAAGGTAGAACGTGTGACATGACACATAAGGCATCTTCTCATCATGAGTAGGTTATGTATGAAAAAACCATCGAAAGTCCAATTCTTATTCTTTACACTGAAATGATGTCGATCCTTTGGTTTTGTACTTCATACTTTCCGCTCTGGGGAGGTCACCACTGATGAGTCTGCACCATCTTCTGGCTCCATTTCTACATACTCATGGGCGATGCGCTACTGCTGGACAGTGATGACTAATGCATACTAAGGTTGCGTTTAGTTCAGCTTTTTCAAGAGGATTTGAGGAAATGCAAAAACTATTTGGTAAATTGTGCTTTGAGAGAAAGGCCGTTTGGTTTGGAAAGTCTCTTTGAGTGATTAATGTAAGCTTTTTTAATTTTTAATTTGTTCAAAATTGAAAAAATAATGTTAAACTTGAATGTCTTTTATATCTCTGTTAGCGAAACTCTTGTGCTTTGACATAAATCTATATGTGTAATTTTCAGTAAAACTTTTGTCTCCGTATGTTTTCCGTAATTACATAAAGTATTCAGTTTTATTGTAAAACAACTCGTACCTGCATAAGACAGACGCTATATTTTATCTCATGACCAATATTCGATCTAGCTCGTCATTTATCACTCTTGCATGAAACATTTGATGATATCACGTCACATTGCTTTATAAAACTTTTGAATTTACATTGTCCCAATTTTTTTTGGTCGAATACATTGTCCTAATTTAATATGCATGTTTTTCTCAATTATAGAATAGATGGGATAAACTCGGGATAACATTATTTTTAGATCCTACTGACACACTTTCTAAAAAAATATGACAATATATTACCATCCTAGTCTGGAGAGTATTTCCCTCTGCTGTCTCTCTCCCTCTGTCTCTCTCTCTGTTTGCCACTTTTGCCTGCCTTCCTCCCTCAAACGAATGCTATATATCGTCCCCTCATCCGGAGTTCGTTCGAGAGAGAGAGGAGTTAAGTAATGAAATCTTTAACAAACCTTTCAAAGCGGTTCTTTATCTTTTCATGGGGTTTTCAAATTGGGAAAGAGGGTTTGAGGGAGAGGAGTATGAAACTTTTGAACTTCTTCTGCAACTCCTGAAGTACCATACTGTATTATTGTCTTTATCTCTTTCTGGAATGTACAGCTTTAATTTCAAAGGAGGGAACCAAGAGATCTGTGGGAATATCTTTGCTTAGAGGGATAAGCCCATTTAGTCTCTTTCAGTTCTTATCAGGTTCATCCCCATGAAGCCAACGGATAATCTCTCGTGCTTTTCTTTTGAATTCGACAAGATTTTTGCAGAGTACAAACTGAAATTCTTAGCTCCCGAAATTTTTTAAAAGATGGCTTGATGAACCATCTTCGGCAATTTATCTTGCTGGAAAATTTTCCATGACATTTGTTAATGACAAACTCATTACGAGTCTTTTTTAATGTTGATTTCATCCTCGTGCAAGTGATCTATTAACCAGAAAGAGAAGAAGATCGGAAAAATAAAGGGATGAAAATAATCCCATCATGCCATCTTCTCCACCAAGAAACTGTTCCGTATATTGCAGCATAAGGATCATAAAAGGACACGAGTTCACTAAAGACTAGATTGAGCTCGCAATGTTGGCAATGGAATCTCCATTTGCTGAGTCATTCAGACATTGAAATCTCCATTCTTATAACCAGGTCCTAGTTTTTCCTTTGCAAGATCTTCCAGCTTGTCAGTTTTTTACTCTAGATCTTCCACCTTTTGGTTGAACATTCCATACCGATGGGACCGACAGGATATGGTTTCGCACCACCCCAGGATAAGTTAATTGGATCAGGAGGCCTAATTTTGCACATAATCTCCTGTTGCTTCGTATAATTGTCCATCGAATCACAGCTTCGTGATCAAATCCCAGTTGTCCTTCTTGAAACTACGTTCAGATTGTACACAGCACCGGAAACTCGTTGAAACCACCGAGAGGATCGTATATATTGAACAGACAGGCCATTTTGATTCGAATTTGGACTCGGGCCGACTTTGGTCTTCGCATAGTCCAACTGCTCCTTGCTCGTCCTGACTTTGCCCTGCAAAAAAGTAACTAACGGTTAAAGCTTTTCAAGCTCTTGTATTTTAATATCTGTAGTTCAAGACTAATTAGTCATCTTAGAAGCGCCTTCTTCCAAATCTAAGTTCACTCTTCACTGACTCGGCACTCCGAGGAACAATGAAGCAACTGAGGTTTGGATACCGTAGCAGATCCGTGAAGATTTAGCGGAAGTATGTATTCGGCCTTCTGTTGTTGGTCTTTACGTAGATGCAAGTTCATATGCATCCCCTGTTTTTTAGGCAAATATTACAGCATATTATAGTGCTAGTGCTAATTCCAGAACGGCCTCCGCATCGTTGCGCAAGAACATGATCTTATGTCTGTCCATTTTTGTTGGTCGCTAGTTCCTAAAGGTTCTTTAATGCGCTGGCACTTTGCACATTAAGAGAGGTTTATTGTAATTAATTCTTGCAACCTTAGAATCTTATATAGCATTAACCATGAAGAAAAGTTCTGGTTTCTGATATGTAATTATGACAGAATATCTTAGCCAGGCCCCCATGTAAAAGCCAAAGTTCTGTTTCTTAGAATGAAGTGGTTTAGTCATTCTGTTTGAATAGGAGTAGTATCATCAGGGATCATGAAGGCCGGAAGCATAAACTAAGTCATTTCTTCCATGTCTTTTTTCCTTTGCATTTGATTGCTGGGAAAAATAAAAAGCGGCAATTGCACGTGTTTAAATCTATCTATTAACTCCGTTCCGGCACATATCGGTTTCTTGATCGATCAACAACCTATTAGGAAGCAGAGATGACCTCAAATCCCAGATGTGTTGCATCAAGATCTTGTCGCTGCCAAAATTTTGGCCCCTTCTCGTGTGTATATCTCCATAATTTTCGACGAACAAGGGATGGGAAAGACAAAGTGAGATCGAATTTCCTTTCAGCTTCACAGCTTCAAACTGCTGTGAAAAAGTTTGCAACTCGAGAGTTTTTATGGTTACAGGTACTTAGAGAAAATGTGACGTATCGTCCATTTGTCCCGAGTTTTGAATCTTCTGGACGACAAGCTCAATTGGCCATCAAGCTTTGAAACAATTATCTAGTTCATTGCTAGAAGAAACGCGAGAGAAACTACACAGAATCTGACCCTAAGAAGATAGCTGTTGCCCGATAGACATCCAATTTCCTTGCTAGATATAGATTCATGTCCTGTCCTGGTACTCTGTCGCCATCACTCGTAGTCTTTACTCAAACCAGGTCTTTACCGGTTTATATCATTTTCAAATGCACGCACGAGGAACGACCAAATTTTTTGTTTTTTATTCTATTAGTCTGAGCATGTACACTCCAAATTTGAAGACTTCCTCCTCTCTTATGTAAACCGTTGGCTCATGATGTAAGAAGAATTGCAAGTCAATTACCTACACCATGAAGCTTCATGGTCACCAGACAACCTCGACGAATTTATTCCCGTATAACCAAAAAAATGCAGAAGATATAGCCAAGAGGGAGAGAGGTTTTACGCATAACAGATAACCCAGCCACATTAATCATCAGGTCGACAACACAACAAAAAAAGATACAAAAAAAAACGAAAATTCAGATTGATGACCATTTACTATACTTACAAGATCATGACACAAACCATTAGCAACCTGTGCAGTGTGAATGGCGTGTTAACGGGACGCAAACACCATGTCATCACTCTGAGAAACAACACACTTCTGCCAGGTCTCATGGAGGTGACAGGCTGCTAAAGATGCGCTTCAAACTCGGACACGCCACACGCAATCTCCCCATGCTCACAGAGGAAATCTGCATGTCGATATAAACAAGGTAACAGCTTGATGAGCGAAGTTATCGGTATGACACAAACAGATTTAACGCATATCTTTTTCAAAAAATAAGAAGAGTGTGCTCGCCTGCGGACAATAGCGAACATCAAGGGTCTCCAGTGTCGTACATCGTGACACAGCAGCTTCAAGTGCTTCTTCGGTGATGTTGCACCACTAACCAAAGCATAAAGCCCCACAAGAAATCAACAAACCAATCGGAACAGAAAATTTTGACAGTATATATCAACTTATCCAAACATATTATGAATAACTAGCAATTATCTGTATCCTATCTTTTGGAGAAAATGTAAACCATGATCCAATTTCCAAAGGGAAAATTTTCAGTAAATATATCCCACCGCAACGGGCCAACAAAAATAAGAACTGAACAGATTCTTCTTCTTTTTTTCATTTAAAAATTGAGGCAACATGCATGCTTGAAGAAACATGAACATGGAAGACATATACATACCTGAAGAAATAGACTAGTCAATTTTGGACACTCAAGCCTCAATGTTTCCAAACTGCAGCAATTACTGAACAAACAAAACAGCATTAGCAAGTCGAAATTGGTGTGCAATAGGCAAATAACAAAAAGGAAAGAAACTCAGTACCTTAAATTTAGAAGGCACAAATTCGAACAAGCAACATCGACTTCCTTCAGATTGTTGGATAAAGATAAGTTCAGCGACGATAAGTTGTAACAGCGAGCCAGCAGCGGAATAAAAACCTTCCTGATATTTGGACAGCCTACGCAGGTAAGATTTTGCAGCAAACGGTTGGGCATCTCAGCCGGCTCCAGCAAATTATTGCTCTCTGGCACATCATTCACACAACTGGCACTAGGCGACTGAGAGAGATCCCCAGGGCAACCCCAATTCAAATCATGCATATTGACGCAACCGTTCAAGCTAACATGAGTCAGATGTGTACAGCAAGAAAGAAGCTCCTCTATGGCAGATTGAGAGAAAGGCCCATAAGACAAGTCCAATTCTCGGAGAGATGGCAAAGCTCCTCGCATGTAGAGAGGCTCCAATGAAGAATCAGTAAGGTACTTGCACGCTTGCAATTTCAACACCTTAATTTGGAAAAGATGGGAAAGGACAAGTCAGAATAAGCACTGAGAACTTAAAAGTTAGAATGGCAACAGTCCCACAAAATTAACCATGTTGAGAACCATTCAATTAAAGTGAAAGATGTTCGAAAACACCCAAGCAAGAAGTTTAAATTCAACCCCCTCATCAACTCAGTTACTTGCTTATGGGATCAAGTAGAGACTAGTAAAAACCCCAAAAGTAAAAAAATATAATAAAAACAATATTAAAA